GGTACGAAGGTGCACTAGATTGTGATTTATGACTGATTTATTTAGATTAAATAATGAAATTCTTACCTTAACTTGACCAAAACTGAAACTCAATGCTCCGGGATTTGAGTTTGTCTTACACTCAAATCCTCCTGATAATTGAAGACATTCCAATATCACATATGAATTTTCTATTCTTGGTCCTTTATGTGTGATATTGTATTTTATTTTATTTATTTGTCTTTTTCCTATGATTTACCTATTTCTGTTAAGTTTTTTTCAGGTCATACTTTCCTCTTTTATACAACGCATAATAGCTAAACCTAAAGGAGCAATGAACCTACCAGGCGTACAGGTTTAATTTATATTATAACATTTTATCTCAAAGCATGTTATATTGTTTTCATAGTCTGTTATACTATTTTCTTAGCATGCTATACTGTCTTTTCTTTCTACTGTACACTATACTGCTCTTTTCTGTTATATTGCATGCTTAGTTACTTTGATACGCTATGCCTTAGTTTAGAATAACCTAGTGGTTAAGTGTATTTTCAAAACTAAAATTAAACCGGGAGGTGCTACTACGAAGAGCCTGGAGCGAGTATCGTGAACAGCACGACGATGAACAACTTTAAGGTGGATCTACAACAACAAAACATATGCACATCACCTATCACCTTCTTTAGTTTAAATAACAAACCATAGGATCACTTTTTAGGCTTTTTGTACAACTCTGTTGTACAATTATAAGTCCTAACATTTTAGGATTCCGAGATTACCCTGCAGTACGGTGTAAATCCTCCTATCTTTTTAGGCTATTTGCACAATCCGACATTGTGCAAACATAAGTCCTAAGTCTTAAATAATTTACAGGATTGAAATATCAAATTACATCACTTTAAATAAATAAAGCCGAACAATATGATAATTGGGGCATCTCCGGGGTTTCTCCTGGATCTATGATATCCCCTACTTTTCTTTCATTTGGATTTCTTAAATAATTGTTCCTAAATAATTGTTCCTATTTTGAGTCCTATTTTGAGTCATTCCTATTTGATTTTCCCATGTTCAATCGTGAAAACCTAAACTTCGAAATCTTGAAAGCAAAACCACCTGATCTTAATCGAGAGTTTTCTTAAGTGATTTCGATCATTTAAGATGTAATTAACTATAGGGGTTTGCCTCTATAGGAAACCAGGAACCCATATAAAATAAACTCTATCTAATTTTTTATGTTAGATAAGAGAATTTGTTGACCTTTTTATAAAATATTTCGCAGACCAAAACAGATGTCACAAATTGTTTAATCTAAATAATTGAATCCCTATTACAAGTGATATATTTATTCTTCAGGATAAGTGTATTACTTGTAGTATTGTATTCAATTATTTAAGTTATTTAAAATGTGAGACTTGTTTGGTCTCACTTATTTTGAAATTAAAATGTTACTTTTAAAAAATCAAAAGTTAAATTCATATTTAAATTATTTTTAAAATCACAAAATCCTCATTTTTTTAATCACGAAGTTTAAAAAAAAACGACCGACAAATTCTGGCGACTCCTTTGATCATGTTGTTTTCTTTTCAAACATCGGTAGTGTATCTATGTCCCTCATGGGCCAGACTACCATTCTTCTGTTTAATTACTGCGCTCATTTCTTCCTTGAGTTAGTACAGTCAACTCCTCTTAGAGTCCAAGACCGTCTGCTTAACCATCTTTAAGTGGAAAAGTTCAGGACCTTAAGGTTTAGTAGAGTGGACCCCTAAAAGGCGTGGTGTGTTGAGGTCGGGGTCGGTCCAATATGAAATAAATCATTTCCTATTTTAGGCTAGCTCATATGCCTCATAATCACTTCACTTCTTTTCTGAAATTTGCTTATACTTTTTACAAGTTACGTCAAATTCCCTTTCAAATTTCCTCTACAATACTGAAATCTCAAAACCCAATACCAAAGCAAAGCAAATCACAAAATTGGAGCCAAATTCACATGGATAAATTTTAAAGGATACTCGGTTCATAAGACAAGTGCGTTAACTTGAGTACTACTGCTGAAATTGCGAGGCATTGGACGTCACTAATTTTCAGAAAATTTTTCAAATGACAGAAAGAATGTCTTCACCAAAGTTGATCTTTTCTTTCGCCACTGGAGATGAGTTTGGTGTTAGCCAGAGCGAACTGCCAGATTTGGCGGTCATTAAGTTTGGGCAAGGATTCAATAATATTGAAGCCAAGTTTGGGAATGTCGTTGTTGCCGTCATTAAGCCTGAAATGGACAAATCTGTCGAGCCTGTAGCGGAGTTTAATATCAAGTCTGTTAATGAAATTCCCCCTCTGAAGAGTTGCCACTAGGAGCACAAGGATCGCTCCTAGAATTATTTCTGCTTCTGCCACTGGATTCACTGCTACTACACCAACTGTTCCACCAAACAAAGGAAAGGAGCTTCTTTACGAAGAAATGTCTGTTGATGCTTTTGTCCGGTCATTTTCTGTATTTGAAATTGAGTCCAATTCAAAGTCTGTGCAACTTACTAAAACATAAGAAATGAGACGCAACCAAAAAATTCTAAGGGCTGAGAAGGCGAAAGTCACAGAGCTAGCTACTACTGACACTACCCTCTGACTCAGGTGAAATAGGATTACGTGAGACATCACCTCTATGCATGAGGGATAAGTTCCACCAGTTGCCTGCCACCTACGGAGAGGTACCAGTTGTCTGCCATCTACGGAGAGGTTGGAGTCTATGGGGCTGCTACCACAGTACCGTCGCCATCTATCAATAATGGTCCAAGGCCGATGACGACATTCGAAGGAAAATCTGAGATTATAGCAGGGGTGAATAAAGTATATTCTTTCAGAAAAGAAGTTGTAGCAAATATGTTCCAGAACTTGATTAAAAATCCCAAATTCAAATTCAATTGTAGCAAAACCACCTGATCTTAATCGAGAGTTTTCTTAAGTGATTTCGATCATTTAAGATGTAATTATCTATAGGGGTTTGCCTCTATAGGGAACCGGGAACTCAGATAAAATAAACTCTATCTATTTTTTTATGTTAGATAGGGGAACTTGTTGGCCTTTTTATAAAATATTTCGCAGATCAAAACGGATGCCACAAATTGTTTAATCTAGGTGATTGAATCCCTATTACAAATGATATATTTATTCTTCGATGATATATATTACAAATGATATATTTATTCTTCGGGATAAGTGTATTAGTTGTAGTATCGTATTCAATTATTTAAGTTATTTAAAATGTGAGACCCGTTTGGTCTCACCCTCTTTTGAAATTAAAATGTTACTTTTAAAAAATAAAAAGGGTTATATTCATATTGAAATTATTTTTAAAATCACAAAATCCTCATTTTTTTAAATCACGAAGTTTAAAAAAAAACGGCTGACAGTACCGTAGCAAAGCATTTTAATAATGTATTGTAGCATTTAACTGCAACATCGTCGGAGTACCACTGTTAAAGCGCAAGGGCGCACACTCGGGGAAAAAATGTCCAAAAACCCTAGAACTCAACACTAAGATGGCCGAAATGTAGCACCGCAATGTCCATTTGAACGTCGCAGCGCCACATAGCAATGCCCTGAAGCCAATAACCAACATTGTTTAGTTTTTTATGCGTTTGGTTCCAACATGGATTTTTTGCCGAGAATGAATAAAATGGGGTTTTTCCTTCTTTCATAGCTTGAGAGGGGAGAGTTCATGTGCAATTTGTATGTGAGTGTAATTGATATAAAGTGGAGGAAGTTGAGAGGAAATCAAAGGAGAAAGCATATTGTAAAAGAAAATTGGCTTGGGCAAGAAGAAATTCCATTCGGGTGTATTCTTCATTTACTTTTTTGTAAACCATGATTTTCTTTCGATGAAATTTCTTTTGTTTTTTGTAACTAAGTTTTTTTTTTTTCCCTTGAATTGGTATTGTGAATATGTTGTTTATTCTGTGTGATTTACTTTAAGCATTTGAAAGATAAGTTGATGTGTTAATCTTTAGAACTTCATTTACGTTCTTGTTGGCTACTCGAAAATTTAAAATAACTTGTAATCTATGACTATTGACAACAGACTAGAAGAAAAAATAGGCTAACAAAGTTTCCTAGTGGGATAGAAATATTGTTATTAGAAGATTGCAATCACACAAGGAAATATGAAATATTGGGAAACTTTGTAGAGGTAAAAAGACCATAATATGAGGCTTCAATGCTTCTTATGTCTAGGAAAAGATGAGAATTAATTGTCTCAATGACATTAGAAAAGAATTTAGTGAAAAAATAATCGAATTCTCACAAGATCCAATTCAAGGAAGAATTTCTATCTAAGAAAAAACCAAAAAAATCAGTAAGTGTAGTTTTTATAATTTATGTTTTTTAGAGAACCCTTAAAAAATATTATAGTGTTTTAAACTGAACTTAAAATTACTAAACTAGTACTTAGAGTGTTTGAAAATTAACTTATTTCTCTTGGGATCGATACGCGGACTCAAAATCCTTATACTACTTTACGGACATGTATATTTGTGTCATACCAAGTGCTTCACTGCATTTTGGATCGGTGTTATGCATGTAAATATAAAAGTTTAGGTGTGAGATATATAAACACATAAAAATTTTGTGCTATGTATGTAAATGTCCCTTAAAAAAAAATTAAAATTTTTATTTTTTTAAAATCATTCGTGCTAATTTTGAGCCAAACACGACCTGAACCGAAAATATGAAGCCAAATCAAGTGAAACCTGAATATAATATTTACGAGCTATTTCGAACACAAGCCCATTTCGAACAAAAGAAAATTAAACAAGCCGAACACAAACAAGCATTAGGCTAGGTCAAGTTTGGCTCGTTTACACCCCTACAAGCATTTGCTCGGATTAGTGGGAGGGAAGAGTAAAACAAATAAAGGGTAAAAACAACAAAACAAATAAATTCTACGAGTTCCCAAGTTCTTTTAAGTTTGATTTTAATGATGAGCAAAATTGAATAAAGACTCTGCATAACTTCCGGAAAAAAAAAATTACCTCACTTTTGTTGAACTAATTTGATTCGGTATGATATCATCTACTGATATGATATTGCTCTGTAAAAATAAATCAGTGAAGAGGAAAATAACTCATGAACTCAATTAATGTTTAATATAATTTTTCAGTACGGAAAAAAAATCACCTTTCACACCTTATTTTCTTTCAATATTTCATCATTGGATATTATCTGTTCGATATTCTTCCCTTCTCTACGTATACAAATGATGCCAAAATCCCTACATATTGCTCTGACCTGGAAAAAAACACCGCAAACAACATTTTTGGACCATATTTGCATTCTCTAAGAAAATTTTATAAAAATGTTAAACAGGAAAAATAGAGCAATTGAACATAAATAACAATTTGCAGGCTTAGAATACAACAAAAAAAAGTACAACATTTTTTACAGGCTCATTCATCCACACGAGGCGTAGAACAGATGAAACTGATATTTTTATTGGAAGAATCATTCAAATGAATCAAGTCTCAACTTCTTTTGAATCATTCGACATAAGCCCTCTTCTTTCTAATTCAAGTGTAACTATTTTTCTATGTGCATTCATGGTTGGAGATGCAGAAATGACGTCCATTGTTTTGATCTGTTTAATAGATCCAATAGAAGATTTTTGTAGTTCCAACAACATTATTTTGGGACATTTACAAACAGACCACTCAATTCCTCTATATATACATATCTAACACATAATATATTTTTTACATTTATACCTCCTAAATCTTTCATATCACATCAGAAATACCATCATTTTATCTTTTCAAATATGAAATACACCTTCTCATGCATAGGTAAGGTGGTAATGTAATTAAAAATTGAAATTTAGGTGTTAAATATGTAAATACATAAGAATTTAGTATGTATGTAAATCTTCCTACTATTTTTAATGGTATTATTTCTTTATAAAAACTGCCAATGGCATTGATTTAAAGATTATGCCATTGAAATTGAAGATCAGGTCATCAAGGGGGCCATGGATAAAGGCGGATATCAGAGGCCCAATGATCAAGATCGGAGGCAAGAACATCTTGAACATTGGATGAAGATCAAATACCAACATTAGGGAGTCCATTTGTGAGGGCTGACTACTGTTCGAAATAGAAAATCAAAGCCAATGGAGGAAGATCAAGTGGGCGACAGTAGTGGCCTGGTCAATCAACCATCATAAGAATCAAATGCAAGTTCAAAATGAAAATAATTTAAATTTGCATTGAGATATTTGTATTTTGAATTTTAAATTCAAGGTAAGATTTCATTCTTCTATGGAGTTAGTTTAGTGGTATAAGTTTCTACTCAAATTAAACTGTAATTGACCATGTAAAGGCTGCTGCTTGCATTAAAAAATAATGCAATTCCCCTCCAATCCTTTACCTCTTATCCCCTCCTATTCCTATATTGCCGACCATCCCATCTCCCAAATCCCAAACTGCAAGAAGCAACATGAGGATATTCTAAGCCTTGATTCGTAGTGAATTCTATCTCGTAAGTTATGTGGGGCAACGGTAGAAGAAATGAAAGTTTGAGGCAATATTAGATTTTTCGTAATTAGAAGCGCACGTCTGCACGATTGAAGAATTTTCCAAGTCAAGGCATGCGCCTCGCAAGGTTAGCATGAGGTGTACGCCTCAAAATTGTGAAGGCGCACAATTTTTCACCTTAGAAAGGATAAGGCGATTTGCCCTGTATTCGATTTAGGTATTTAAGTATTTAAAAAGGTACCCTGCTAAACCCATAAGCTCTTGTTTCCCACATCTTCCTATCTCAATGTCATGAACCGGACGGCGCCTACTGCAGCATTGGACATCGCCACCAACGTCATCATGAACTATTGTTCAAATGTGTAAGCTCCTGTCTCCCTCAATCTCCTGCCTCTTGCTCTCATGCTCCGAAGGACGTATCTGGCATTGACACTGACCCTGCCTTCTCCTCTTGTAATCAACGCTGCCATAGGCACCAACTGTTGCTTGGTTATATCATCTCTGTTTGATTCAGTATTGAGCTCCGACTCACCAAGTTTACCTTAGTTAAATAATTGAATTTTTGGAAGATTTATACATATACCACTGAATAAATATATTTCATTAATGATTAATTATATCAACTTATTTCATACAAACCACTGAATTCTAAGTGTTTGCATATCTAACATCTCAACTTCAATTTATACATAAATACCATTCGTCCAATGCATTAAAAGATGTAATTTACTTTTTAAAAGTTAAAATTATAGTAATTTTGATGTGATATGAAAAATTAGGGTGGTATAAATATAAAAAAATGAAGTTTAGGTGTGAGATATGTAAATAAAATAAAATTGTGATATGTTGTATTTAAATGCACCTTATCTAAAATGTTTTGATCAAAATTTAGGAGTTAGATATGCAAATACATTGGAATTGACTATTGAATGGTATGTAAGATTGTATGTAAATCTTCCTATAAGGAATTAATTATAGATATGAGACGTTTTGTCTGATAAAACTTGTATAACCTACAAGAAGTTATTATACGTTCCTAGTGTTAACATGTAGATATAAAGAATTGGGTGGAACTAGTCATTAGTCTGAATGCCTAATTGACTACAAGGCATTTTCTAGTGGATTGAGTTCTTATATTCAGGGTTGAAATTTAACATTTGGATTAGGTTCGAATTTCCAATGTGCTTGAATTTCAAAACAAAATTTTTATTACAAGGTTTTCAAATTTTGTGAGAAATGATTAGAGGCAAGGAGAAATTCATATTCGACAATCGAAAAGATCCAACATGGAGGCATAGTTCAAAAATTGATGTAAGAGGCATGATAAGACATGTTTACTTGAAATTCAATTATTATGACAAGGTAGTTAAAGAAAGTGTTACAAGAATGAAGAAGCATCTCTTGCTCACATAAAAATATTGCAGCGTGTGCTAAAGTGTCAGAAACAGTCAAAGCAAAAATTCAATCTTATATGTAAAAGTCAAAATATCTTGCTCAGCAACATTTTAATGATAGCTTTGATGTCGGCTCTTACTATTGGAGAAAGCTCAGTGTCAATGATTCTTCATTATCTCTTGGATTAATATATGTTGAATATAAATGACGAAAGGGGTCATGGGGAGGGGGGTAGCTGTAGCTTAGAAAATGTCTCCAAAGCAATTCAGAGAAGCACGCAAACATATCTGCATGGATATTTGAATATTTTTTTTTAATGAGAATGTTATTTCATTCAACGTGGCAACATTTCCTTTAAAATGATCCGTTCAATGGTGCTTATGTTCGAGGCCTGAAACCCCCATCTATATATGACTAGAGAACATGGGTAATAAATGAGGAGTTGAATAATACAAATAAAAATGTAGATGAGATTAAGCGGACTTGGAATCAGACTGGAGTTACAAACATATCTGATGGGTGGTTAGACATAAAAAATAAAAGTATGATTAACATTCTAAATAATAATCCATAGACACTATTTTTTTAAATCTATAGAAGCTTCTTATTAAGTGAATGATGCATACTGCATTTTTGGACTACTTGGAGTGATATATGAAATTGGAGAGCATTTGGTAACTCAAACTATGACAGTAAGGCAGCTGGAAATAAATTGACGGGGAAGAAAGTGTATTTATATTGAACACCTTATGTTGCACATTGCATCGATTTGATATTAGGGAGGATTGGTGAATTGCCACAACATAAAAATGCTCTGACCAAAGCAAATAAGACAAGAAGATTCATCTACAATCACTCTTCAATATTATCTTTAATGAGAAAGTTCTCTAAAAAAGAACTTATACGCCCTCTTGCAACAAGATTTGTTGCAGCCTTTTTGATTCTATAGGGTATGGTGAAGGTTGGACAACCATTAAAGGCAATGTTCACTTCCACTAAATGGCTTGGTTGTGCATGGGTTAAGAAATGTGAGGGAGAGGAACTCGAAAAAGTATTTTATATGAAAGGTATTGATCTAGTGTCACATATCAATTAACTATTAAGCCATCAGTAAAACTCTTGAGGATGGTGGATGCAGAGAAGAATCCAGGTATGAATTTTATTTATAAAGCAATGGATGAGACCAAAGAGTTAATAGCACATAATCTAGGAGGAGAAGATGCACCTATATATCGATTTGAGATATTATCGATGAAAAATGAGAGCTTCAACTTCACCGTCATTTGCACATAGCGGGATATTTTCTCAACTCTCAATTTTAATATATTGAAAACAAATCCACAAATCCCAAGATCAAGTTGGAGCTATATCACTGTATAGATAGATTGATTGTTGACCCAAATGAGAGAGTAACTGCTAATATGCAACTCGATCTATTTAGGAATAACTCATTTTATTTTGGAATAAAGATGATTTCTTTGGGCTACAACAAACTAAATATACTATTATAAAACGCTCTCCAGGTAATTTTAATATTTATGTTTATTGGAACAAGTATTGAGTATCTAAGAACTATTTTTTTAAGTTTCTAACTAATAATTTTATTTCAAATATAGTTGAATGGTGGATTCAGTTTGGCAATGGTACCCAGAGCTTCAACTTTTTGCAATTAAAATACTTCAACTTACATGCTCATCATCTGGATGTAAGCACAATTAGAGCACATATAATCAAGTTCATACAAAAAGGAGAAACCGTCTAATGATCTTAATGATAAATTTTTGGTGTATATCACGTATAACAAGGAATTGAAAAAAAGATGTTTGAAGAAAATATGACAACAAATGATGAGTGGTTTGTAGACAAGGACAATGTGGCTACATTGAGTCACAACAAGATATGAACATTGATTTCTTTGAGGGTGATACAAACAAAGGTAGCACATCTAACACCAAACAACAAAGAAAAAAAAAGGTATTCTTAAAAATTAAAGCATTTGACATTTTCTTGAATGTTAATTTTCAGCTTTTTAATTGATTAATCTTTTATAACTAATAGGGAAAAGAAAGATAACTGAGGTTGAAGAAGAATGAGAGAACTTAAACTCAACTGACAAAGGAGCAGGGAAAAATATATATGTTATGATGACCTTTTCAATGAAGACTCCTTAAGTGATGCGAGTGCTAGACTTTTTATTATTATTTTTATCTTATTTACAACTATGGATGATTTTATGTAGGAGACAAAAGGAGTGAAAATTCTTTAATGCTAAAGTTATATAATGTCTCTTATATATTTTGTGCAATCTAACACTTTTTATCATGTTATGATATTAATATGTTATTATTTCGTATACTTAAAAATTATATTGTTATTATATATATTTTTACCCTTTTATTTTAACTATGAAAATTTTAAGTTGTAAGGCTTATCCCTCAAAACGCCTCAAGGCTTTCGCCTCACCTCACAAATAGAGAATGCCTTGATACCCAATTGCACAATTTTAAACATTGGTTTGAGGCAATGCCAAAAATACGGTGCCAAAACAAAGTTTAGATACCAAACAATTAGTTTGGGATAAATATTGGGGATATAAAAACATTGATCAAGTACATCTCAGGGCTTATATAAACTTTGCTTATTCCTAATCACACATCCTAAACAGACCAGTCTGATTGTGACGGACATAGAATGAGATAAGAGAATCAGGACATTGCACAGACAATCCATCACAAAATGAGATAATATAGTTTTCGTGACAGGTGAAGGATAATGTGTATGAGGAAATGCATGCAAGATGACACTGTTACTCGATACATCTCATGCGGCATTGGCAGAGAATTTATATGTTTGCTAGGGTATGTAAAGAAAAACTGAGAGAACATATACCAAGTAAAAACCAAGCACTATATTTAAAAATTTTAACCCACAAAGTTCAAGATACATATGAATGCTTAACTCGAGCTTCAGTGAAAATGAACTTACAATATGACCAAGCCAAGTTCAATCCATGTCATACTTGGCTCAACTCTGCTTGATTGCAAACATATCAAGTAGGAAAAATCTCTAGTTCATTCGAGTCATATGTATCTTTCTCTCTCCAGTCTGTAATTTGAATCGACTTCTACCCTTTGATGTTGTATAATCTCGTCTCTATGGAATGCTCAAAGACAAATAAATGTTTGATTGGTCTGTCTTTTGTTGGGTCTATGATCCCATTCTTTATGACTCTACCCCGTCTTTTCAAGCCGCATGCGTTTCAATCAAATCCCGTAATAATGATATATGTAACATCAAATCAAACGACCCCTTATCGATTTTTGTTAATTTTGAGTGTGGAAAAATGATTCAAAAAATAATTCATGATTAAATTCACCAGCAACAAGCATTCAAAATATAGTTTCATACGTGGAATGTACAAGAAAGTTTTAAACATCATAATTTCATAAAAGATGGCTAAATTCACACAACATGACTTCACAAAAATGGTAAGTAATAGCTCCCTAGATTATTTCTTGCAAAAGAAATAAAAATTCCTCAAGTAGAAAAAACCTGATCACGTATCCAAACCCCGGGAATGCTGAAAGACTCTAGCAGATCAGAACCACATAGAAGCATGACTTTAAGTGAATCTACATCACGGAAAGCAAAATAGTAGAAATGCAAAATTTTCCAATCTAATGAACGTAAAAGTTGCTTTGCTTTGATTGTATAGCCACCTCTTTTAGTCGAACCATCTTTGCACAAGCCATCTTTAATTCGGGAGAGAACAGTAAATGTCCTTTGAAACCTGCTTTGGCTTGCCTGCAAGAATTCAAGACAACCAATGATTTGCAACCACAAAGAAAAGAATGCTAAGCATTTAAAAGAGTTATTTAAATAAGCATGATTATAAAAATAATTCGTTTTTTTACAATTAATGTTTTAAGATAGAGCACTTGCTCTTAAACTCTAAAAGAAGAAGATTATATCAATAAAAAATTTTAATTTCAAATAAGAAACTGTAACAAAATAAAATTAGAAAATCTGCACTTTAGAAATTTCAAAAAAAGAAGAAAAACCTGGACTGAAAATCCTAAAGAAGAAAAATAATGCATTAACTGAAAGAAAGATGAGTGATCACCAACTGGATGCACTCCAAGACACTAAATACACATATTGACCCGGAAAGATACAAGAATGGTTATTACAACCAATCAAAAACTCCCCATTCCTAGCCCTTATAAAGGCTAGAATCTCCTTTTTGGATTAGCTCATCCACTTGGAGTTGAAGTTCTTCATGCTTCTTTGGAGCCATCCTATATGTAGGTTTATTAGGAATGACAGAATCAAGCACAAGGTCAATGACATGTTGTACCTCTCTTAAAAGAGGAAATCTTGCAGGGAATCTCTACCTGAAGTATATCTTCAAACGGTTGTATCAATCCTTACAATTCAGAAAGTCACTTCAGCAGAAGTATAAATAGCGTTTCAAATTTGATTCGGAATTTTTCAACGTACGATTTTGCATTGGATTATATGATTGTTACGCAGCGTAAAATAGTTGAAGTTATCTGCAGTGAATTTGCGTCAGATTAGAAGTTGCATTTTCGACACAAAAGACAAATAAATGACCACAAAATTTAATGGTTTTGGACTCAGACTTGCGTCAAATAAATCGATGCAAGAGGTTCACTTAACATCCTCAAAAAAATCCAACGCAACGAAGAAGAAAAATTCAACCTAATATACCAAAAATACCCATCCCACGCCCTCCATTTCATTTTCTTTTTCCTGTGCCCCACCTACAAAACCTAAACATTTTCTCTCCATCTTGCGACATCGAAACCCTCGCACTCCTCTCCTCCCTCTCACCGTCACCCTGATCGTTGTACCTCCCCGCAACACCGTCGACAATAGCCCTGACCCTAAATCGTCACCGCTCGATCTCACGGTTGTGACCGATCGAGGAAAAGATAATGTGTTATATATTTACCTCATTTTTTCCTTTTAAAATTTTGGGATGTATGTAAGATTTAAAGTTTTGCTGTTAGGTATTGTTGACCTCGCTTTCGGTCGATGTGTAGTCTTCCCCTCCTTAGTAGTCTAGGATCTAGCCGTAGGACCTTTCTGTCGACTACTCCTAGAAAACTAGTGAAAGAGCCCTCCCCATTAGCAATTCTAGACTTCTCTTTGCTCGACTTAACGTTCCATGTAGTAGTCTTGACCGCTATTGTTTGGCAGGTAAAGCTACTACGAAGGAACTCAGAGAGCATTCCTATAGGACAGACAACCTTAGGATTGACTTTACTCATTGATTCGGCGCCGCTGCGCTCTCCGTCGTCCTATTTAGTCGAATTTGAGCCGAAATTTTCGTGGGATTTGGACCGCGACGCGTTCTTGGCCCGAGCGGCGATGAGGTTGCCCGGACGACTCCGGATGACGAAACGGATTGCGCTGATGCGTTCGGAACATCAATTTTGCTTTGGGGACGTTCGTTTTATTGCGACGACGCGTCTTGGGAAAATACCTATTTAAGTGTTAATTAAAATAATAAATAATATATTATTATTATTAATAACTTAGTTTAAAATCCCTGACCTAAATCTATCTCCCCCGCCTCATTCTTTCACGTCCGTGGGCCTATCTCTGCCCTAGCGTGGCTCGTTCGATTGTCTGACCCGCCCCTTCTTCGTGCCGTTGGGAGATTTCGTTCCCGCGCTCGCCTCTCGCGGTCGCCCATCCCATATCCTATCCTCTGCGGGTATCTTATCTCGTCAGCTCTCGATCCTCCCTGCCGCAGAGCGTGGTCTCTGCGAGGATCATATCCTCTGTCTCCCTCAATCCTTCGAAGATCCGCATGCGATCCTCTAATCATTCGCTCTCCTTTTCTCGGGTCTATATGAAACTCTGTTTTGGAGCGTAAAAGGGACCGAAAATCTTTCTAAGGGAGAAAACTCTGCTCTTTTTCTTTCTCACTCACTTCTTTGATCTTCTGGTGCTTGAATTGGTTTCCTCCCGCTGTTGGGAGAGGAAGTGAAGTTCTGGAGTGCTTTTAGAGTTTCTGTGTTACCTTTTTTTTTGTTTCAAAGAGGTACCTTCTTCTCCCTCCCCCAGTGCGCTGTCTGCGTTCGGCCCTGCTCTTTACCAAGCCCCTGTGCTTTATGTGTGCTAGTCCTTGTTCTCTGTCGAGCCCTATTGGCATGCTAGAATAGGGAGATTACTATTTACCTTTCCTAAACATGTTCTAGCTTACTCTTTATACATTTGTTATATGGGAATGACATTTAAAAGCTTGAGGGTGTGTATTTCCCTCCCCCTCACATTCTCGGTGCTTTACTGGCTCTCGGTTATGGCCTTGCCGAGCCTCTTGTGATGATCTTGTGGTGTAGTGCTCGAAGTTAGATTTGGTTAAGCAATGTGGCATGCTATTAATTCTCTCCTTTACTTTGCTTATCTAATGTGCTGAAGTCATTGCATGATTCCTACCTTCTGAGGCATATTTATATTAAAAACAATTAAAAGGATAGCCTTGGAATAATTTGGCCCCTCTCATGAGCATGTTAGTATATGTATTGTGAAACTTTCATCCATTTTCACTCAAAGTATGTGATAGCTCTATTTTGAAATGTCTTAAAAGCATGAGAATACTACTCTAACTCTTATTATGTCTTAGTATTGGAGGTCTCAATTGCAGCCTGGTTTTTTACCCTTGCTGGGTTCGGGTTCTGGCCTTGCTTGGCCCGGTTTGGCCTTTAACTGGTCTGGAATTTGGTGAAAATTTTGGTTCGGCTTTGGTTTTGTGTTGGATCTCGGTTCTTGCCTATTGAGGGTTCTTCCTTTTTACTTTGGTGGCTCTTCTTATTTTGGGAAGATTTGGGTGTTGAGTTTATTGAAGCCTGGCTTTTGCTTTGGTCGTGGACTTTGCCTTATGCCGTGGACTCAGCCTAGGTCGTGAGCCTTCCCTTTCCCTTTGCCTCGTGTTGGCTTTGGTCTTAGCTGTGGGCCCTGCTTACAATGCTTCGGAGTCGGTTTAGAGACTTTGTGAGGGTTTGTCCATTCACTCTCCTATGTATATCAAATATATTCATATAATTGCCTTGAGTTGCTTTAGCCGTGAGCCTTACTTGTGCCTTGGGTTGCCTTTGGTCGTGGGCTTCAGCAGTTATCCCTTGCTGCCTTTAGTCGTGAGCTTTAATAGTCTCCCCCTTTCCTTTTTGTTGCCCTAACCGAGAGCCTTACCTGCTGTTTATCTCTTTGTATTAACCCCGGTCGTGAGCATTTATTTGATTTTATGGGAAGATTTTATGCTTATTTGATATGTGAGGCTATGGAGTAATTTGGAAGTTGGAAGATTTTGATATCAACATGGGGTTTGAAAAATCAGCGCAAAATGACATTTTATATTTGTTAGAAAAGACATTGGGCCCTACTTTTCCAGGTCTTTTCGATAGGAGTTTTGAGAACTGATATATTCTCCTTTTCGGTGTTTTAGATGGATCAGTATCTCCTCTCTCTCACCCCATTTTTGTTCTTTTCTTTCCTTGCTTTTTGGTTCGGTTTTCGATGCTTATGTCCGACGCATAAGTGTCCGCGTATAGTCTTTTGCTATACGTGAAACCATCAAGCAAGGTCACAAGTAGTTTTTTTTTTGGCGTATGGTGGTGATGATAAAGACACACCGAAGATAGAGCAGAAAGATATCCTATCCTATAACATCAAGATCCAGGTATTTTGATAAAAAATAAAATAGAGTATCCTTCACCGACATAAGTCTAGCGAAAGTTGGCTCGAACCTCCTTAGATAGTTGGCAGTCTCACTCCCGACAACGTAATCGACTTGTGAACAATAAAAAAAAAATTTGTTAAAACTTATTTCAAAAAATAAAAATATATTTTTCACTATAAAATAAAATTTGATAATCTCTTTTTTTGAAGACCTATGTACATGCCAAAAACATAAATTTTAAAATACATTTTTAAAATCGATTGTCCACCTGACGAATACCTGTTTAGGCTGAGAAGTAGTCATTTATGCGAGGTTCAGGATACACTTCTAGACGAGTGGCGGCTTCTATACATTCGGGGTTCGGGTGACCGAGTAGCCTTCGTGGACCCTCGAGTACATATAAATATATCTGAGCCTAGCCCTACACAAATGCTTGTGGTCCTCCTTACCTGAACTTTTTGTTTTATCAAAACTTTGGACAAAACACTCGTGTTTCTTTTCTTTTCTTCAAGATCTCTTCGAAATTTTTTTGAAGATGTTTACTTGAGTCTTCTCTCGAGTTTTCGGTCATGAGTCATCGTTACACTATTTTTTGGATTTCCCGGATGGCTTTTCTTCCAGACTTAGCTTTTTGCAATACCTTTCAGCTTGCTATATTTAAGAAACAATGGATCCCACGGGCGTACAGGCTCGTTTTACATTTACAGAATGTTATACTATTTTTGTTTATACCTGTTACTACCATGTACAACATGTTATTCTATTCCTGTTTATACCTGCTACTGTTCTGTAAAACATGTTATACTGTTCCTTTTACTGTACTTGTCATCACTCTATATAGCATGTTATACTGCTTCTTCTACTATACCTGCTACTGTCATGTATAACATGTATACTGTTTCTTTTATTGTGTTTTCTACTGTTTGCCCTGTACTGTACATTTTATATTGCAAAGCCTTAAGCATGTCTCATTTCCATATAAGGTGTTTAGAGGACTAGTACCAGAGGGTCGTTTGATTTGACATCATAACTTGACACCCTAGAAAACTTAAACTCGTCACGACAAGAAGCTTGGATTTAGCGTGGTAGGCAACAC